GCGTGGAAATGTGAAGGACTGAGAGCAGTCAGTCTCTGGAAATGAATCACAAAGATGAAAGACTGACATCCCCTGTTTTAAGACTCCTCATAAGCCCACGGTGCTCAAGACAGTGTCATGTTGGTTTGAAGGCAGCTCAGTGGAACAAAGAGGGAGTCCAGAAATGGACACATGTGTGGACAGTGTTCTGGCAGAGGTTCAAGGGCGGTTCCGTGGAGAGAGGGTTGTCTTCCAGTAACAGTGTTGTCATTGGACTATCTATACGCCAAAAGGGGAGCCTGGAGCCATACCTTACATGATATACAGGATTAACCCCAAGTGCATCATAGACCAAAGGCACAGCCACAAACTGTAAAACTAGATAAAACCTTTGTGGCCTTGGGTTAGGCAAAGCTTTCTTAGGTATAGCACCAAAAGCACATCCCTTGAAAGAATAAAGTGATACGTTGGACTTTATCAAAATAAAACTTCTGCTCTTCTGAAGGCATTGTTAAGAGTATGAAAAGACAAGCCAAAGACAGAAAATATTTGGAAAACATGTAGGTAAGGATTTGTCTCCAGGAGGCCGTAGGGAGCCATGATCATGCCACTGCACTCCAGCTTGGGCAACATAGTGAGACTCTGACTCAAACACACACACACACGCACACACACGCACACACTGGTTTGGTGTGATTCTTTGATCTTTTAGTAGTTCATAAGCATGATGATTGGGTATTCACATGCATGTGTGAGATGTATCACCCTCAAACCTTGACATCAGCAGTCACCCATCTGACAGTGAAGAGTTCGTCTTCACAATAGAGAAGGAACTCTCAAAACTTTATGAGAAAACACTCCGGTTTTTAGTTTTTTTTTTTCTTTTTAAAAATCAACCATGGGGAGTCACAGTGACTCACACTTGTAATCCTAGCACTTTGGGGAGGCAGACGTGAGAGGATCATTTGAGCTCAGGAGTTCAAGACCAGCCTCTACAAAACATAGTGAGACTGTGTCTCCACAAAAAAGTGAAAAAGTTAGCCATGTGTGGCAGCTACTTGGGAAACTGAGGCAGGAGGATCTCTTGAGCCCAGGAGGCTGCAGTAAGCCATGATGGTACCAGTATATTCCAGCTTGACTCAACAGAGTGAGAACCTGGCTTTAAAAAAATCAACTTTATTGAGGTATCGATAACATGCACGATAACATGCACCCACTTATATTGAACATTTTAAAGGTGTTGCCAAATTATAACATCACCACCACGATCAAGATACTTTAACATTTGTGTCACCCCCAGAAAGTTCTCTCAAGTCCCATCCCAGTAAACCCCAACCCAACCCCAGGAAACCGCTGCTTGGCTCTCCTGTAAACGGAATCATGCCATGTATGCACCTGTGTCTGGCTTGCAGCATAGCCAGTTTTGGTTTAAATTTACATTTCCTTGATTAATGCAGTTGATCAGCTTTTCACACATTTATGCTGATTCGAATCGAGTTTTTTGGGGTAGTACTTGTTAATGTATTTTGCCTGTTTTTCTTGTGTGTTGTCTGTATTTTTCGTATTGATTTGTAGAAGACATTTGGCTATCCCAGACACAAGTTATGTGATGACAGATACGTGTGTGTGTGTGTGTGTGTGTACCTGTGTACCTGTGTACCTGTGCATGATACACACGTGACTGAAGTCTTTTCTCGCCCCGACTTGTCTCTTCGCTCTCCTAAGTGCGCCTCCATCCGCGTCTTTTTCTCTTACGGCGAGCACTTCCTGCGTCAAGTTTTGTTCTAGTTTGAAGATTCAGGGGTGTGTGCACGTGCATGCTTGTTGCACATGTCTCTTGCATGATGGCGAGGCTTGAGCTTCCGTTGAGCCCAGCACCCAGTGGGTGACAGTGGCTCCCAGCGGATGGCTTTTCAGCCCTCCCCCCCAGCCCCTGGCCCCCGGCTTGGCGCGCCCAGCATCATTCCCATCCTCGTGCCCGCGTGTGTTCAGTGCTTCGTCCTCCTCACAGGAGAGCATGCAGTATTCCGGTTTCTGTCTCTGTGGTAATTCGCTTAGAATAACGTCCTCTGGCTACATCCGCGTTGCTGCAGAGGACAAAGTTTGGTTCTTCCTTATGGCTGTGTCGTATTCCGTGGTGCGTAGGCATCGCCTTTTCTGGTCCACTGTCAGTGGGCACCTGGGTTGGCTCCGGGCCTTTGCTTTGGTGGAGAGTGCTGCGATAGACGTTCACGGGCAGGTCTCTCTCTGGTGGGACGATGTATGCTCCTTCGGGACGTGCCCGGAAGCGGGGTTCCTGGGCCAAATGGCAGCTAGTTCTTTGAGAAATCTCCAAGCTGCTTCCCGCAGGGGCTGAAGCTCGCTGACGTTCCCGCCAACAGTGTATGAGGGTTCCCTTTCCTCTGCAGCCTGGCCAGTCTCTCTTGTTTTTTGACTTATTATTAGGAACCATTCTGTCTGGTATGAGATGGCATCTCATTGTGGTTTTAATTTGCGTTTCTCTGATGATTAGTGATGTTGAACATTTTTTATATGCTTGTTGGCCACTTTTATGTCTTCCTTTACCCATTTCTTAATGGTTTGGTTGTTGTTGTTTTTGTTTTTCTTGATGATTCTTTTGAGTTCCTTATAGATTCTGGATAATAGCCCTTTGTCAGTTGCATAGTTTGCAAATACTTTCTCCCACTCTGTAGGTTGTCTGTTTATTCTACTGATGGTTTCTTTTGCTGTGCAGAAAAGCTCCTTAGTTTAATTAGGTCCCACGTGTCAATTTTGGTTTTTGCTGTGCATGCTTTTGAGCACTTGGTCATGAATTCATTGCCTAGGCTGATGTCTAGGAGAGTGTTTCCTAGGCTTTCTTCTAGGATACTTATAGTTTGAGGTCTTACATTTACATCTTTAAGCCATCTTGAGTTAATTGCTGTGTGTGATGAGAGGAAAGGTTGAGCTTCATTCCTCTGCATATGGTTAACCAGTTTTCCCAGCCCCATTTATTGCATAGGTCCTTTCCCCAGCGTTCATCTTTGTCAACTTTGTCAAAGATCAGTTGGTTGTAAGTCAGTGACTTTATTCCTGGCTTCTCTTTTCTGCTTCATTGGTTAATGGGTCTGTTTTTGAACCAGTACCATTATGTTTTGATTACTGGAGCCTTACAGTAAAGTTTGAAGTTCTGAGAGTGTGATATCTCCAGCTTTGTTCTTTTTGCTTTGGCTATTTGGGCTCCTTTTTGTTTCCATACGAATTTAAGTATTGCTTTTTCTAATGCTGTGGAAAATGATGCTGGTAGGCCGGGCATGGTGCCTCACACCTGTAATCTCAACACTTTATGAGACCGAGGCAGGAGAATTGGTTGAACCCCGGCATTTGAGACCAGCCTAGCAGCATAACAAGAACGCATCTTTACAAAAAATTTAAAAATCAACTGGGTGTGGTGGTGCACGACTGTAGTCCTAGCTACTCTGGAGGCTGAGGCAGGAGGATAGCTTGAGCCCAGGAGCTCACAGCTACAGTGAACCATGATCACAACACTGACTTCAACCTGGGCACAGAGTGAGACACCAGCTCAAAAAAAAAAAAAAAAAAGAAATTATGCTGGTAGTTTGATAGAGATTATGTTGAATCTACAGATTGTTTTAGCTAGCATGGACTAACAATTTTAACAATATTGATTCTTCCAATTCATGAACATGGGATGTTTTTCCATTTGTTTGTGCCATCTTTGATTTCTTCCTTCAGCGTTTTGCACTTATCGTAGAAATCTTCCACCTCCTTGATTAGGTGTATTCCCAGGTATTTTATTTTTTTGTGTTCTTGATTTAGATCTGCTTGAATGTTGTATGTTTTTTAATGTTCATTTTTTGTAACCCGAGACTTTGCTGATGTTGCTTATCAGTGCTAGGAGTCTTGGGGTGGAATCGTGAGGGTTTTCTAGATATAAAACCATATAATCTGCAAAGCAAGATGATTTAGCTTCTCTTCCTACTTGGATGCCGTTTATTTCTTTCTCTTGCCTGATTTCTCTGGCTAGGACTTCCAGTACAATGTTGAATAGGAGTGATCAGTTTTTTTAATGGGCAAAAAAAAAAAAAAAGGACTTGGAAAGACTTCACCAAGGAAAATAACATAGATGGCAAATAAGCACATGAAAAAGATGCCCAAGGTCACTAGGAAATGTCACTTGGAAGATACAAATTAAAATCACAAGGAAGTACCATGATACCCTCCGTCCCATGTACTAGTGGGAAGGGAAGAACTGGAACTCTTGTTCACTGCCCCTAGGAGTGCAGGCTGGACGGCTACTTTGGAAGAGAGTAGGGCAGTTTTTCAAAAGTTAAACCTACACCTTCCGTGTTGATCCAACCACCCCACAACCAGACATTTGCCCAACGGAGAGAAAGCACTTGTCCACATAGGGACTCGTACACGTTGTATGTAATAGCCCCAGTGCAGATGTTCATCAGTGGATGAACAGATATGAAAACTGGTGTATCCTTAGAAAACTCTTCAGCAGTACGTGGGAAGGAAAGCACACGTAACATGCATAGATCTCAAAGTAATTATGTGGAGTGAAAGAAGCCAGAGGGAAAAAGCCAGCTCCGTTGGCATAAACGTCTAGAAAATGCAGTCTACTCTGCAGCGATCGAAAGCAAATCTTTGGCTACCTGCAAGTGGGGAGGGGCAGGGCGGGACAGGCGCAGGTAACAGGGCACAGGACACTTGGGGGGTGGTGGGTGCATTTTTTACCTTGGTTGTGGTGATGGTTTTGCGGGTGTGTCTCTGTGTTGTACACCTCAGGTCTGTGCCGTTTATGGTGTGTCATTTACACCTCTGAGTAGCTGTACATGTTTTCAAATAGATCATGATGCTTTTTGACTTCATTCCTATCTTGAGAGCTGTTTTGAAATGTTAAGATCTCAAACTTGTAGGTGCACCTTGAGTGAGATGTGTAATAGCTAACTTTTCGCATGAGTCATTGAAATTTCTGAACTTTTCATTTGTTTCTTGGTCTTTTCCATCCCCAGAAAGTCGCCCGGTGCTGGGCTGTCGGGAGCTGGTCTTCAGAAACCTCTCCAAGATGCTCCCCGGCCTGTGTCATGACATCACTGACTGGGTGGTAGGGACCAGGGTGAAGGCGGCGCAGCTGCTGCCGGTGCTGCTGCTCCATGCCGAGGACCACACCACGCAACACCTGGAGGTCGTGCTCAGGACACTGCTCCGGGCGGGTGCCGACGAGGAGGCAGCCGTGGTGCAAAGTGTGAGTGCCGAGTGCTGGTCACAGCAGTGGGCCCAAGCTAGAGGGTGGGAGTCCCGCCTCTGGGTGTGCTCACCACACAGCTGGTACAGCTTGTCCCTCAGCCCAGGACCCCAGCCCCCCCACCGCTCCCCGGCAGCCACTGGTCTGTTCTGTGTGCCTGTGATAAAAGCGTGTTGAAGTGTGTCCTCCAGGCTCGTTTTGAGCACGTGCAGGTGTCTGGTTCTGCACATGTTGCATCAACATGCCGTGCGCAGACAGGCCCAGCTATGGGCTGCCTCCAGGATGGGCTGCTGGCAGCCACGGGATGCTCTAGGAGCATCCTGAGGGCCTTCCCGGCTCCACGGGGACTGTGGGGTG